GTTTATTCTAGCCCGTTCGCCATCGTGCCACCCCCGCCAACAACTCCAGAAGTCGTGACGCAGCCGCCAACGCCCGCAACCACACAACCTCCACCTCCACCCAACCTCAACCTGAGCAACGGCCCGATCCGGAGCCCGAGGTTTCCGAGGTCGACCCCGATCCCGATGACGGTAGGTTTTAACAAATTGTATTTGATGCGTTGATGCGCAGCATTTTCTGTTTGCTGTCACCATCCCTTTAAAAACTCCTAATCGATTACGACATGTTTTTTTCCCAGGATCCTCCCCATCGCGACCAGCGATCCAGAGCATCCGCCAAGCCCCGCCAGCCCCGCCTCCACCATATGAGCAGAGAGGGAGGAAAGAGAGGCGAGAGAGCGAGAGAGAGTCAAAGAGCGAGAGAACGAGAGATGGAGAGGGAAACAGGGCGAGGGAGAGGGAGAGAGACAGGCAGGAGAACAGTCACCTCGTCAAGGACCGGATCGGACATAAGAATGAGAATAAGGATGTGAGTTTTTTATCTTAAAGATAGAAAGAGATAAGAGAGAGACAGAGAGAGAGAGAGAGAGAGAGAGAGAGAGAGAGAGAGAGAGAGAGAGGGAGGGAGCGAGAGAGAGAAGGACGGAGCGAGATTGAGAGAGAGCCCAAATTTCAGAATGAGCACAAGCGCATGACGTGCAAGTTTTGTGAGCGCATGCTGGAGAACGCGAAGCAGTACGCAGTGACGGCAAAGGTAAGCTTACTGTGGAGTTTAAAAATTTAAAAGCTCAGTCTGACATCACGGCCTTTGCGAACAACGCCTGCGCGCAGATGACCAAGGGAAGGCCGCAGGTAAAATCTATAAGAAAAAAGGTTATAAAAATTGCTTAAAAAAAGCATCAAAACGGAAGATAGTGATGAACTGAAGCGTACAGTATCGTAGTCCTTAAAGAACCGCGGTTGCGTTGCGGCGACGACACGCAACGCATAGGTCGCTTGACCACCTTGAAGGCGTCGTATTCCTTTAAGGAAGGGAAAACCCAGCGGGCCGTTGTGTATTGCTAAAATTGGAAGCGACGAAGAATCCATAGCTCTTCCTTGCCAATCCCTCAAAAACCTAGGCCCGATTCCAGGACCAATGCTACGAGCTGGCCGACAAGAAAATCGACGAGCTGGCCAAGTTTGTTGACCATCAAGTTATTGAGGCTCTTTGGTGTGCCGAGCTGAACCATTGTTAAGGTTCTTAAATCCAAAATTTGTCCTTTTTAATTGTTTAAATTTAATTTTTGTTACAATTACTGTAGGCCATATTGGCCATCGAAATTTCCGGATGATCTTTTTCGGTTTTGTAAACTTTCTAAATATCATTTTTCCAGTTTCTAAAAGGCAATTTGCAAGTCTAGTCTTTCAGTTCGTTTTCTCTCCTTATCCACACGTGTATTCGCTCATTCTCCCCAACCGAAAAGCTAGTATTATCTGTGTCTTTCAGTTCCGTTTTTGGTATTCAAACGAATTCATTTTTCGCGATTTTGATTTTTATGAAAATTGCTCATTTTTAATGATATTTTGTGCAACTAATGAATTATTGATAAAAAGGCATAAGACAAAAAATTAAGCTACAGAAAAACAAGAAGTAAGTTTTTAAAATGAGAACGAAAAATGGGTACGATAGGTACAGCGAGAGAGAGAGATGGAGAGAGAGAGAGAGAGAGAGAGAGAGAGAAAAGGAGATAGAAAATGCTGTTTATGCCTTGGCCACAGTAATCTTCGGTATTTCCATCGCTGCCGGGCTGGCTTTTTGCTCTTTCGAAATGGCAGTGGTGGAGACACGCTCGCTTCTGAAGCCGATATAGCCAAGGATACGCTTCCGGTAGGCCTGAAATAGGAGTGAATTTTAACGAAAATTTTTACAAAGGTCAGAAATAACCAAAAAAATTGATTTTTGCAAATGAATTCCAAATTAAAGAAGGCAAGTACTTTAGCTCTTACCGTAAACCCAAAAACGACCATAAACGCGTCGGCCGGGGAGTAGCAGGCGATCAGCACGGGCATGTAAACGCTCAGATAGCCGATGTCGTAGCCTACAAAATAGGTTTTCCCTCTTTCTCTCTCTCTCGCTCTCTCTCCTCACTCAATTTTAAATAGTTTTGGTTTTTTAAGCATCAAATTTGGCCCAGAAACAGCCGAGAACGTGATTTCGAGGTGACAATAGGCTATTTCAAATTTGCGAGCTTCCCGGGCCCCGGGGGTGTACAGAGGCCTCCGACGTCTAGGCCTCCGATTTTCGGGCCGTCACTCAATTTTTGGCATTTCTGGGCCCCTTTAGCCGATGCATTAATGTTTCAAGCGGTCCCGGCGAAAATACGTTCGAAACGGAAATGAATCAGGCAACTTCAGCCCTTGCGGGAGACATGGTGCTTACTTGTCGAGACCTAGCGATGGTAGAGGGTGGATTCTGACGCTTCCTGAACGCGTTAAGTGGTTTAAAGATGCTCTAAAATCCTCCTTTTATACCGATCCCTTAGAGTTCACTTCTTTTGATAAACTTACGATCCGAATAATCAAGCCCAATCCGGTTCTCGCGCCCCGCTTTTTTGTGCTGCTCAAACTCCCAGCGCGTCACCCTTTCAAAAATTTTCCGAAACACCGCTCTCGAATGGTTTGAAAAATTGCGTAAAGAAGTGGCTTTCTAAAGGACCAGAAAAACGGGAAGATCGGGATTAGTGGCGCTTTGTACGTTCCGGGGAGCCTCGACCGACGTCGAGACATGCCGAAAAGTCAGAATCCCGACAACCAGAAACCCGACAAATCAAATAAGGACAGCGAGAATCCCGACAACCAGAATGCTGACGTTCAAAATCGCGACAACAAATTGCCCATAGCCGAAATCCCGACAGACAAAATCCCGACAGGCATAATTCGGACAGTCAACATACGGACAGCCAAAATCCCGACAGCTATAATCTCGACCGATAAAGCATCAACAGCCAAAATCCCGACATGCCAATTAGCTGTTTAAACGGTTATGACATCCAATCTAGCGTCAAGGGTCTGTCGGGTTTTTTGGCATCTCGGGATTTTAGACGTCGCGATTTTTGTTATCGGGATTTTGGATAGAATTTGTTGATCTTCCTCTGGTGAATAGCAAAACTTGAATTGAATTTGTCACATTTTTTATAACTTCTATTAGTGCGTCAACTTCGCATCTGTCAGTCCCTGAACGCTCACGCCATGAAAAGTGGCCCCCGGCCCATCTGGCCGTTCCCGGGGCAACAAGGGCGCGGGGTGTTCAAAATGTGGCCCGGATAACTGAACCAAATCTGCCAGCTGTCCATGGATTTCGCTGTTATTTTACTTTTTTTGGCGTTAAGACCATACCAGTTGAATTTTAAATGCTTTTTCCGTAGATTGTCGATACATAAGCGTCACAGTACGACTATGGAAACGCTCGACAATTTTGCGGAAGCAGTCTCCTTCCTTTTCATGCAAAGCGGGAGCATGGAAGCGGTAATTTTCGAACATCTGAAGATTTTGAGCTCTTTTCAGCCCTCGGTGAAGCCAATATTTTTCTTGCACTACCTGGCAAGGGTTATTATGATTGGGACCGGATTTTTTGGTATGTTTTTTGTAGTTAAAGAGTTTAAGAGTTTTGTAGATTTGAAACTTGATATCATAATATCCCGAGATCCAGCGGTTTACGGTGCGGATTTCGGAGCGGAACTCGGACGCCGTTTCCGGAGACGATGATGATTTTCTCCTTTTCGAAGGATTCCCGGCGATCTCAACGATACGGTGTGTTTTGCTTTTTGATTTCCTGCAGTTTTTCATAAATTTGTTATTCCTCTAAATACTCCAGACCGCTACCATACGACGCACTAATGGACCGCACGAAAAACGTAATCCATTAAAAAAAGCGATAAGATAAAATTTGTAAAAGTTGACCTAGAGAAAATATTGGGTATACACGATTTGAGGGACCAGATACTGAGCCAAAAACCACATATTCGGTTGGAAAGTGAATTTTTAAAGGGGCGTGGGAGCGCGGAAATCTATTTATTTTAGAAGCGGAAAAGGTCTCGACAGCAACGCAAAACGCCAAATGACGCCTGTTTGCGCACAAATGCTGTCAAAAATCAGGCATTAATAAGGCAATTGCTGTGTTTTTGAGCTTGCACGTAGCTGTCTAGACCTAGTCAAGTCAAGAAGTCGATTCTGGGACTTCCTAGCTCCTTTAAACGTATGTAAGTGAATGTTAAGTGCCAACTTTGTCAAGGAAAAAAAAATCGAAGAATCCGATTGCGCAATGTGGGATGAGATCAGGGAAAGGACAAAGAGGGGGACATGGAGGGCGGAAAGCAAGCATCGAAGAATTTGATGAAAAATGCAAAATATCCTATTCTACAGTAACCGGATCACCGTAATGGAAGTAGTAGTAGTAGTTCGTGCATTGACCCGTAATGGATTAATTAGGTATTTGAAATTTGGAGCCTGCGTAGTCATGTCAAAAGGATCACATCGGAGTAGCCCCGCGGGTGCTGGCCATAATATCGACAACCTGAAAAAAATTGTGAATTAGGTTAAACCTAAGCCCAAGCCTAAGCCTAAGCTAAGCCTAAGCTAAGCCTAAGCCAAGCCTAAGCCTAAGCCTAAGCCTAAGCCTAAGCCTAAGCCTAAGTCTAAGCATAAGCCTAAGCCTAAGCTTAAGCCTAAGCCTAAGCCTAAGCCTAAGCCTAAGTCTAAGCATAAGCCTAAGCCTAAGCCTAAGCTTAAGCCGATGCCTTCGCTCGTTCTGCTTACTTGTCTAAACTCCTCAAACTGCCCGGCCATCTCCCGCAATTTCTGGTTCAGCGATCGCAACTCTTCACGCAACGCCATCTGGTCGGGCTGGTCGGCGTCTAAATTCAGTGATAATTTGCAAAGCTAGAAGTATAGAATAGTATTTGAAATTAGACAGGTTGGAAAAATCAGAAAACGTAGAGGGAGCGTTGGTTTTGTTTTTTTTTAGGCAGTCAAGCTGGCTCAGCAGACCTTGGCGGAAACAGCCAAGCGGCGAGACTGAAAGGGGAAAATTTACAATAAAAAAGAGTTAGAAGCTAAGCAAATGCTAATAAAATGTCGTGTTTTTAAAAATCACAGCTTCTCGAATTTAGGTACTGCATAAACAAGCCGGATTTTGCCTGATCACTTCTAATTTCAGTGTGTGTACGATTGGTAGGCTGTCTGCGTCTCTCTTTCGCGTTGTTTCTGTCTCTCTCTATCTCTCTCGCTCTCACTCTCTCTCCCTCTCCTTGCCTCTTTCTCGCTCTCTATCGCTTCAAATACCTTGATCTTCCTCCTTCAGCGATATTGCCTGCATCCTGGGGAACCAATCCAAATCCCGATTGATGATACACTCGTGCACATACGATTCTGGGCCCGTGAATTCTGTCTCGTCCTTGATTTTCAACCAGACTAAAATCAAATTATTCAGCATTTTTCGACGACAGATCTCGATGAATTAATGATAGAGTCTAAAAATCTGCGAAAAAAACGAAAATCTACATACCTATAAAGTACAGATAATGCCAGAGGTTGTGCTCCTTCTCGCGGTGGTCCTCAAAGGAAACGGAACGGTTGTCGAACTTCCCCCTTTCCAAGCCGCAGATGAAGCAGCTGTTCTAAAACACAAAATCTGTAAGTTATTATAAATTTAATTCTACCTTCAAAATGTCCTCTTTCTCGTTCTTCTCGGTACGCAAATCGCCGAACGTGTCGATGATCACACCTAATGGGAGCTGATATTTTAAAATACTTTTTATCACAATGTTTTAAGTGATTTAAAATACATAACTCGGTTTGGTTTATTCAGATAAATCAAAAATTAATAGACATTTTATAAAAAAATCGAAAACTCCTACCAAAAATCAGGTTCAAAACAATGACGATGCAGACGACGAAGAAGGACATGTCGTAGAGGATTCGCCAGTAGAAGAGAGATTCCTAAAAACAGGCTCTATTTCGATTTCTCTCTCTCTCACTTTCTCTCTCTCCCTCTCCCTCTCCCTCTACTTACACTTGGGTGTATATTCCTCAGCACATCTCCGATTCCACCCCCATTCCGCAGGCCCCAGTTCAACGTCGTGATTATGCACATCCGCAACGAGTCGCAGGTGTACACCTTTTCTTCTGAAAGTGAGGTCAATTCCCGAGTGTTTTTTAGTAAATGACACGCCTCTACCGTAGTAGCACCCCAGAAATGTTAGCCGGCTATAGTCTTTAGGAGTGAGAAGTGCATAGTTTCTATGTGAGCTTCAACAACCTTGCGGGGCCGGGTTATCCGGCTTGGCTAGCTGGGCTTTACGTGCTGGAAATGAGAGGATTTTGAAAGTTTTGAATCTTAACTACAAAAATATCGTTTGTAGAGGTTTCTGTAGCTGTATTTAGGGGTCTATCCTGAGGTATCTGGTTCTATCGCACCCCGCCTTAATAGCTGCCGCTCTATCGCTCGTGCGCATTTTCACGTGCTCATTTTTCTCGTTTTCTCTCTAAGGCTGTTTCTCCATCTCTCTCACGCTCTCTATCGCTATCTCTTTCTCTCTCTCTCTCTATCTCTCTCTCTCTCTCTCTCTCTGTCTTTCACTCTCTCGCTCTCTATCTCACTCTATCGTTACAGGCCTTCGCGCGCTTTTCCAGCTCCTTAAAATCCTGTTTAAAGTTCGCAACACCTCAGATTTCATCAGAGTGACTGTGTATCCAGAATCCTACTAAATATAAAAAAAGAAGTGTTTGTGTGTCAGTGTGCATTTGCATGCAACTTCCGTCACCGTGTCCGGAGGATAACTCAAGAGGGGAAGGGTTTTAAGCTACGTATGATACGCCATTAGGTGCGTAATGGCACCGAGATGACTGCACGCATACCAAATTTAGCAATTTATGCTATTTTCGACGTTAAAATTAAGTTTTTGTTGAAAAATCGGGCGGCCTCTTTGTTAAAAAATGATTAGCATACGCCGGAAGTCGCAAAAGCCTATTTAATGGGAAAGAGGGAGCACTTTTCATTGTTTCTCATCGCATTTCGGGCGAAATATGCAAAGTGAAGAATATTATGGGATTTAGACGGGTCCAGGGTTGAAAAGTCGCGAAGCGGCTTTTCAACCCTGGTTTCTATTTTACTTTTACCCTTTTTAACCCAAACATGCATATGCTAAGAACAGGAAGGTACCTTAAACGGACAACGACACGAAAGCTTACCCTCATCATCGTCCTCCTTCCCCTCCTCGGCAGCGCATCCATCTTTTGGACAAGTTTCCTCGACTTTCCTCAAAAATGGAGGTATCACCGATGGTCCGCCAATAGCTGGATGTTGTAGCTGCTCAACCTCGAGTCGGAAATCTGGAGAAAATTGCCATTTCCAACTCTTAAGAAGCGAAATATACCTTTCTGGAAGAACAGGAATCCGAAGATGGCGAACAGGTAGACGAGAATCAATGCCAAGAGTCCTAAAAGTTGGAAGTCTTACTCTCTATCGCTCGATGTCTCGCTCTTTCTCTCTCACTCTTTCACTCTGTTTCTCTCTCTCTCTCTCTCTCTCTCTCTCTTTCTCGCTCATTACCTGTCAATATGATCGATTTCCAATTCTTTGTCACGGATTTGATGACGTTTTGTAGGGTATCCTCTGAGGCAACGATGTCGAAGAGCTAAATTTGGATAGTATTTTTCCTTTTTTCGCCCTATCTCTAGCACTCTCTCTCTGTCTTTCTCTCATTCTCCCACTCGCTCACTCTCTCTCTCTCTCTCTCTCTCTCTCTCTCTCGCTCCCTCTCTCTACCCACCAGGAATGCATAGTAGAATGGATGTAATAACAGCCCTGCCACACAGAGAAATAGGTAGACGAGATGGTAGTACAGTTCCTGATCAGCCAGCCGCTCTTTCCAGTGTCTAAAATGCCAAAAATTGGCTTAACTATAATATCGACGCCAATAAATTCCATTTTTATAAATTTTGGCAAACCATAGTAGTCGTTTTAGATATAGAAACGATTTTATCAAGCTCAACTTGTATTTTTAACCCACTTATCGACCAGTCCTCGGTTCGATACAAAAGCCGTGACGTGGATTACTTTGTTAAACACCTAAAAAGATGTAACAAGGTCCATAACTTGCATTTTTTTATACCTGTGCTATGCCTATCAACACCAATGCCGGCACGATCCCGAGTACGTTCATCAACAGCGTCGACACGGAAAACATTGCTATTGCAATGCAAACCATAAAACTCCACGAGGTTCCCATTGCGGATCTGGAAGAGGTTCGTACGCCTAAGTCTAAGCCTAAGCCTAATCCTAAGCCTAAGCCTGAAGCCTAAGCCTAAGCCTAACCTAAGCCTAAGCCTAAGCCTAAGCCTAAGTCTAAGCCTAAGCCTAAGTCGAAGCCTAAGCCTAAGCCTAAGCCTAAGCCTAAGCCTAAGCCTACGCCTAAGCCTAAGCCTAAGTCGAAGCCTAAGCCTAAGCCTAAGCCTAAGCCCAAGCCTAAGCCTAAGCCTAAGCCTAAGTCTAGGCCTAAGCCTAAGTCGAAGCCTAAGCCTAAGCCTAAGTCGAAGCCTAAGCCTAAGCCTAAGCCTAAGCCTAAGCCTAAGCCTAAGCCTAAGCCTAAGGCTAAGCCTAAGCCTTGGCCTAAGCCTGAGGCTACCCCTCATGATACGGGTTTAAAACTCACCTGTCATCCCACCGGAAGTACAAAAATATACAACTTCCAATGGCAGCCGCGTGAACGGCAGTGTCAGGTTGGGTGTAGGGCTCTGAATTTGGGGCTAAAGGGAGCACGACCTCAAGCTCACCATCGTTCTGTGTGAACGGGAAGTGCAACGCGACTGTACAGTTGACGAGGATGGCGAAGAATAGGCAGAGTCTACCCCAGAGGCGTAACCTCTGGGTGCACCAGGAGAGGAACATTCGTTTTTGGAGCTTCTCCTGCCACCGCATCTCCTCGTACAGGTCTTCCCAGTGGCCAAAGAACTCGGTGACTTTGGAGCCCTGGAAAAGCGGAAATGAGAGACCGAACGAGATACCGGGAGAGAGAGATTGAGAGAGATGAGAGACAGAGAGAAAGAGAGAGAGAGAGAGAGAGCTTGGGAGAGACCAACCTGCGCATCCCGTTCCGTGTTCTCATAAACGGACTGCTTTGTCTCTTTCGTCAAGAACGAGCAGGTCGGGTGTATGGGGAATACGACACGCTCCAAAGTACGATCCCTCCGCACTATCTCGATTTGCGCTGTGTGATTCTTGTAAAAACGCAGAGCTTCTTCGGTGTCGGCACCTAAATTCTATGTTTTAGCCAGTGCGAGGGAGAGAGAGCGAAAGACAGAGCGAGAGAGAGCGACAGATAGCGAGCTAGGGAGAGACTCACTCTTATGCTCCCCTTCCGGATCCAGCCAATGCTCCAGGTCCTGAGAATGCCGAGCCAGTTGATGGGCCAGGATGTAGATGTTATGGCCGACCTCCTTGGGGTTGACGATCGTCGTTTCTGGACATTTCCCGTCAAAATCTTCCTCCGGCTTCTTCTCCTCGTCCAGGATGGAGATGGTCCCAGAGCCGTCGACCGAGATTCCGGGGAGATTTACTGAAAAATTAACGTTTAGAGAAAACGAGAGAGAGAGAAAAAGAGAGTGAGAGCGAGGGAGAAAGAGAAAGAGAAAGCTCACCTTGCCCATTCTTGACCGGTGGGGCCAGTAGGCTTCTCGGTCCGTTCATCTGCGGGGCCTGACTCAAGATGTCTCTTCGGACCTGAGCGACAGCCAAGTCGGTCGAATTTGCCATCTTGAAGGCCTGCGCGATGGCGTGAACCTAAAAACTGCGTTTTCCTGAGTTTGAAAACTTCTACCAGCTGCTTCGGCCCTCCCGCCATATTCGTCATGTTGTGCAGCACCCGCTCGGCATTTTCGGAATCGTGTCGGGATTCCATGATGGCAAGGAGGAGCTTGGAAGCGTTGCTCTAAAAATTCAAAATAGAAAATTAGAAAGTTCGGGAATTAATGGTAAGATCGCTGTCAACTTCAAGCTGTTCGGAAAAGCGGGACCAAAAAATGATTTTTGATGCTATAAGGCTTGTGATAATGATAATGGCAAGTCCCATCTCAAAAATTTAAAATACCTTGATCTCCAAAGCCAAATCCATCCTTTCGTCAGCCAACGGTTTGATGTCGTTCAGCACCAGCGAGATAATGATGTTCAGTCCGTTTTCTTGCATCGCCATCGTGTTCTGAAAGCAATGCAAAAATGACGGTTCATTAATTTAAAGCTTAAACTTGAAGCTAAGCCTAAGCCCAGCCCTTACCTGATTCTCATGACAAGGCCCCTGACAAAACTCGGTCAACGTGTTTAGGGTCTGGGTGATGAGTGAGAAGTTATGAACTCCGATTTCGCCAAAAACACCAAGAGAACCCTTTGTCGAGCCGCAGACCTAAATTTTTTATCTTAGAGAGAGCGCGAGAGAGAGAGAGAGAGAGAGAGAGAGAGAGAGAGAACCACTACTCATTGCTTACCGTATCCAAGAACATCAATGTTTCGGCCACCAGGTTGTGATTAGCGCGATCAGACTGCTTTCGGATGAAGTTCTAAAAGATGCTCATGAGCTACCGTAGCTTTGTAAGTTACATACCTGCAGTAAGCTATTGTGATTTTCACAGAGTAGCTGGAGCACTCGGAGGATTGGTTCAACAATGGCCACTTCTTTGGGGAGATCGTCTTTAGGCCTGAAACGGAATTGGGTCTTCTCTCTCTCCCTCTCACTCTCTCTCTCTCTCTCTCTCTCTCTGTCTCTCCCTCTCCCTCTCCCTCTCCCTCTCGGTCTCTCTCTTTCGCTCTCGTTCTCTCGCTCCCTCTCTCACCTTTCTTCATCTTGATACGGATTAATATCCGGAACACTTCCCATCTCGAATTCCATTCCACCGGACATCGAAGACCCGCGAGAAAATCTGGAATCGCAACGTTACACTATTACAAGGAAAATTCTGGAAAATTCTGGAAAATTCGAAGACTGAAATTTACAGTATGCCCTTTATAGTGCGTGCTTTTAAGGAAAAATTAGTATTGTGCTTATAGAGATAGAAACGTATGATGGCTTGACGCATCCCGCTTTTTACTCTGGATGCCGATCTCTTAAAACATACGTGAGTAGGATGTTTGGGACTGATAATCTGCAAGAGGTAGCTTCGTTCTTTTTTCCATTATTTTAACTCGTAACTTTAACTATTTCTCCTTTAAGCAATTCTTCGAAGTAAGCTTTTGTTGTGTTTTTGAAGCAACTACGATATGTCCCTGTCTCTTTAAACCCACCTTCCATGCCCTCCGGTCATACTATCCCCAAACGAGATGAACGGATGATCAGTGTTGTTGGCTGTATCAGCTGATGGGGTCAAGATTGCCGATGCTCAAACGTGGATAAATTTGGGTTATGGTAGCGCGAGGAGAGACGGTGGAAGGGAAAAATCTCAATTTGCTAGGGTCGTAGGATCTTTTTCGGTTCTTTAGCGTTGAATGTATTTTCAATGTTTGTCCAATTTTAACATAACGAAAATTAGACCAGAAATGCCCATTTGAAGTCATATTTTCCATTCCACCGTATCTCCTCAAGATCGTCAAAATTCTGTTTCACAACGCCACACACACCACTCAAGCGTTTCGAGGTGAAAGCGGAAAGTCAAGTCAAAACTGGGGGAAAGCCTTTAATCGGGGTTTGGAAAAGCCGGGGTTGGCAGGGAGCGAGAAAATGAGCATTTATTGAGTATATTACTGGTTATTAAAAACTACAGCACTCTTATAGATAAAGAAATACGTTTTATAGCCGTTTCGGAGACTAAAAACCCAAATTCAAATTTTTAAAAAGCTAAAAATACGCAAAGGATCCATTTTGAAGCCTTCACGTTTTATTTTCAAGTCTCTATTTTTTAATTCTCCACTTTAACATATTTTTAAAAGCTCAAATGAAATATTTGCAAAATCAAACATTAAAAATTATTCTGAACACTCCAGCTAGTCAAATTTAGCTCATTCTCCTCAAATCCCAAAAAGAGAAAACTTACACCGGCGGCTGACTTGGGTCGAGGCGGCTAGAAAACGGTATTAAGTGTGATATTTGTTGGAGATTTCAATGGCAGAAATTCTGATTTTTAGTGGTTTTTGAGTTACAGGATGCATTCTCGAATTTTTAGAATTAACTTCGAATTCTGGGATTTTCACAGCACGCCAATCGCGTGCTTTTGGCCTCACTAAAGTTTGCACAGAGGTGTCCTCCAAAGTTATGGGAAAGTAAGAGACGACGGTGGGGCTTGAAGATTCCTGAGAAGTTTGGGGGTAATGTTGCTCTCCCCCGTTCTTTTTCTCACGCTCTCGCCTCACTCTGGCCCCTCCCTCTCCCTTTCTCTCTCTCTCTCTCTCTCTCTCTCTCTCTCCTCTCTAGCTCTCCCTCCTCCCCCTCTCTCACTCGCCGTCTGTCTCTCGGCTCTGTCCCTCTCGCTCCATCTAGTCTCGCTTTTTCTCCTCTTTATTTTTACAAAACTTATCAAACTAGTAATAGTAGAGCCTAAAAACCAAGAAACTTAACCAAACGAGAGGCAAAATCCTACCTTATATAATTTGGTCGCGTATCTTGTGTGTGTGTGCGTGTGATGATGTCACTTTGAGGTCTGATTTGAGGGCCTTCCCGGATGTCCAAAATGCCCTAATTCTCCGTCACCCGGGGAATCGACCCTCCTCTTCCGATGGCGCTTTCAGAATCCCGATAAAATACAAGCTTACAAAGTTAAAGCCGGTTTTAATGATTTTGGGGTCCGGAGGGCGCATTCTGCGTAATGTGAAAAAATACAAATTTCCTCATTCTTGCCAGCTGTATTCTCGCGAGTTTGGTCGTCTCTTTGGATCTGCCTCTCAATGCTTTACTTCCCCTGCTCCCGGGCAATGTGGGGGCCACAAAGGGGATTTTTGGCGCGTGCTGCCAAACATCGTATGGCGTAGTGGTTAGCGCTTTGCCGTGCTAATCTAACCATCGGAGGGCCTGATCCTCAGATATCGTAGCTGTTTTGCTTTTTACTCGGAAAGCGCGCTTGAGTGGATTCGTGTAGGACGTCATATTTTGCCAGTCCCCAAGCCGCAGCCTATCGAATGAAGCTACCTGCCTGCCAAGCGCCGCGTAGGCCAAGGAGGCAGGCTTAACTGTTCCGCTAGCGCCGCAGAGTCTGGAACGACGTCAGCCGCCCAAACCAGCGCCGCAAAATAAAGGTTCAGGCCGGCCCCTGAAACTAGCGCCGTAGGGCTTCGGAAGGCACGAAGTTGCCCGGGCAAGCTAGCGCCGCGGGCCCGGGGCTGAGCCAGTCTTCTCAAAACTGCGCCGCGGGATAATGAGGCACAAGCTTAGCGCCGCAGGTTTTCGAACGAAGCCAGCTGCCTGCTCGAAGCCAGCGCCGCAGGCTTTAGAACGAAGCCAGCGGCTCGCTTTCAGTGCCGCAGTGCTTTAGAACCAAGTCAGCCGCTCTGCCAGCGCCGCAGGCTTTAGAACGAAGCCAGCCGCTCGCTTCAGCGCCGCAGGCTTTAAGAATTCCCGAAGTCGCAGGCTTTAGAACGAAGCCAGCCGTCTCGAAGATAGCGCCGCAGGCTTTAGAACGAAGCCAGCCGCTCAAGCCAGCGCCGCAGGCTTTAGAACCGAAGCTAGCCGCCCGCCAGCGCCGCAGGCTTTAGTAAAAAAAAAGGAGGAACGAAGCCAGCCGCTCAAGCCAGCGCCCAGGCTTTGAGAATCCGAAGCCAGCCGCCTGCCAGCGCCGCAGGCTTTAGAACGAAGTTTTTTTTTTTCTCGCAGGCTTTAGAACGAAGCTAGCCGCTCGCTGAAGCTCCGTAGGCTTTAGAACGAAGCCAGCCGATCGCTACGCGCCGCAGGCCCAATAACGACACTAGCGGATTTAAGCTTGCGCTGCATGTCAACACAAAGAGGCTTGCATGGGAGATGCGTTTTTCATCTCTTCAGGGTAAAATTATGTGGAAGGGCGCCTCGATTCATAGGCCCTAGATGGAGTCCAGCGGGGGAGAGTCGCGAAGCGGCCCCTCCCCCGCTGGTCA